TAGAGTGATTAGTATCATGTTGTTCATGCAATAATACGCGGGTATATGTGAGTACCAGGAGAGTCTCTATCCCGACGTACGAACATCCCACATTGTTATATGCACTTCATCTAGCACATGGGAGGGTGTCTATGTCGAGCTCGTAAAAGTTATGTAAACTATGAACATGGTAGATGTTCTGGAATCGAACAGTCACAGCATGAGAAAGTATGCATACACTCGGTATACGACATTTAGATATGTACTTATATGATATATTATTTGTACAATATCTACATACCAGCTTCTGCCTTCAAGCAATGTCTAGCAAACCCAGACACGAGACTTTCCTAATAAGTCCTGGTTATTCACCTCTCTGCTAGCCTGCTTAAGCTGCAACACGTTTATATGCTATACTGAGGAATCCCATGTAGAGAACTATATCAACTGCTCACACACTCATATACACACACAGTATAGGATATGTGAATGTGCAGGCGTATATATATTACATATACGTAGCAGCCTCAACTACCCTTACACTCATATAGACACATACAGTATAATATATATAGTGCAGGTGTATATATAATACATAACATCTACCTACCAGCCTCAACTGCTCACAAACTCATATACACACACAGTATAGCATATATAAATGTGCAATTACATATATATATCACACTACATCCTCCTACCAGTCTTAACTGCTCATAAACTCATAGACACACACAGTATAACATATAGGAATGTGCAGGTGTTTAAAGATTACATCCACCTACCAGCCTCAACTACTCACACACTCATACCCACACACAGTCTAACATATACGAATGTGCAGGTGTATAAAGATTACATCCACCTACCAGCCTCGGCCTTTGAGCACTCAATAGGCACACCAGACTTGACCAGATGCTTGCGCAGCTTCCCCTGGATGTCCTCCTCTCTGCTCGCCTGCTGCAGCTGATAGTCTCCGATGTACGTAGCTGTGGACTTAAGCTCTGTGTACGATGACTCACGTGCGTCTCGGTATGAAGTTCGGTACGTGTAGTACTCTATCTCTGAGGCGGCATAGCACTCGTAGCCTGGGTGTTTGGCTTCGAGCAGCTCCAGTTGCTTCTTGAGGATTGTTCGCGGGGCCACTGCGTGTGGATGTGGGTGGCGTATGAGTACTCGGGTACGAATTCGAACGTATGTATGTATATATGTCAGTAAATATGTATGTGTGTCGGTAGGTATGTGTGTGTGTATGCATGTATATTCATATATATAACTTATATTCATATATATAACTATATACATACACACATACACATACACATACACATACACACACACACACACACACATATATATATATATGTATGTATGTATATGTATTTATGTATATATTATATAAATTATATATATATATATGTGTGTGTGTGTGTGCGCGTGTGTGTTTGTGTTTGTGTGTGTATGTGTGTATTAGTCATAGCTTCATCTAAGACCAGTGCTTTTGGATGCCCCTTATTCATCCTACCGAGTGGTACATTGTTTAACTGATCCCATATATATATTCATGAACATACCTCATCCTATTGAATGATTATAAATTTTCGTGCACATACACACCTGGAAACCCCTAAAACCCTAAACCCAAAAAACATTCACACCTGGACAGGGCACCCCATGGGCATCATTGACATCGGCTAAGACCAACGCTGTCTTCTCGTGCCATGAGCAGATGCGAATAGTAGACTCAAGCGGAGCCAGGCTAAGGTCACCAAAGCCTTTCTCCCAGTTGAATAGCTCGAATCCCTATTAGCATAGTAGTAATTTAGCTGTTCAGCGCCTACATGCAGATGCTAAACTCAATTTTGTCGACGTGTACTATGTACATGCACATGTACATGTGTGTATGTATATATATATGTACATGTACATGTGTGTATGTAACTATATGTACATGTACATGCGTGTATGTATCTTAATATGTACATGTGTATGTGTGTATATATCTCTATATGGCCATGCACATGTATATGTATATGTGTATTTCTAATGTACATGTACATGTATATGTGTATATGCATCTTTATATGTACATGTACATGTAAATATGTGTGTATATATTACATATAAAGACATCACAATTCACGGGCGTCTGACGAGTACTTAGATTGCGTGAGGTGTGGTGTGGTTCAGTTAAGTGGTACAATCTGGGCAAAAGTTCTATAAATAGAACACATCTTAATTTATGCACATGATACGGCAAATACTTGTGTCAATGAAGATTGAATAGCACAAACACAACAGAGTTGCAATATACTACCTCCCAGTACCTATAACGGCAACTTGTATTTGGTTGAAGACGCTACCACAGATATACATTCAATATGCGCATGAATACACATACCTTAGAAACGCGTATGAACACATATACGTTCAAATATGGGGGAGTTTCTTACTTGTCCATACAGACACACACGCTCACCTGTATAGGATTCATCTCGATGTCACAGGCCAGGAGATAGTTGCACACTTCTGTGTGAGGCGTTTCAATGTAGAAATCGGCCTCGATGCGCTTGCCACACAACTTGCCGTAGGTGTCGGTGAACCCAAGCACCACCGTAGCTATCTCGCCCGCTTTCACCTGTGAATGCGAGTTTAAAACAGTCACAACTAAGCTATACGTTTAATGTAGAAGGCGGTGTATATCCTGGCTCTAACTGTCTGCGATAGTACACAAGTGAATACGAACTGGAATCAGTCGCAAGTGAGCTATGCGTTAAGCTATACATTCCCTATATTCTGACTCTAACTGTCTACGAGAGTGGTACGTAAAACCTTTCTAATGAGGCCCGTCAGCGCTGATGTATTTATATAGCGATCAAGCTGTGAGTGGGAATGTATGGGCTGGGTAGGTCCGTACTTCTTTTCTGTGTGTTGTGGGTTCTTAAAGCTTTGTATGTACTCGACATTGAGACTTATGCTGTTGTATGCTGTCATTTATCACCTGCTAGATATATGAAAAATATTAAACCGGTTCTCCGAATTCAACTTATGCAGAGGGAGACTGTGCGTGCTATAAAAGGTGTTAATATTGGATATATGTTTATTGGGGGGGGGTGTATACGGGTGCGTATGTTTGGATGTTTGCACTCGAATGTATCTCTAGTGATGTTTGAGGTAGCAAGAGAGGTACAGAGAGAGACACTACTCATGTTATAGAGGTGTTTGTACTAGATATGTTTAATGAGGGGCATACAAATGTGTGTGTGTGGATGTTTCCACTCGAATGTATCTCTAGAGATGTGTGAAGCGGAGTTGTTTGGTATACGTGGATAGCAACGGTTGCCCGTTGACAAATCCCTGAAGTGTGATGGTATGACCTACCGCAAGCTGTTCCTGTCAGACAGTTTAATGGCTTGGATAGGAGAGAAACTGTAAGTGAGCAGTTTATACAAACATCCAATGAGAGACATTGAGATAAGGCTTTCCCCTCCCAAAAGTTCTTTTTAAAGGGCAATAAAGCATTTTCGACTGTATATGCAGATGCTAAAATATCGATAACATGTGTGGATGTGATCGTTATTCCGCATTTTGTATCAATACTACTGGTCGCCAAAGTAAAAGATTCAATCAAGTCTTTGTAGTATCACATGTCAAAAACCATATTTGGTAACAAGGAACTTTATTTTAATGAACATATATTTTTATATTTAAAGAAGCAATAAGTTGAAATGCTTTCACGGAGGCCATGTTGTAGGCGTTGTTATTATAGCGTAGGTTGTACTATTGCTGATAATCACCGAAGCATAAACATTGTACCATTATCGACGTTCTTCTTTCGATTATATAACAACTATCTATCGTATCACATATGGCAATGCCGTTATTGTATATGAACAATACTGGCCGATCAAAAGAATAAAATCACACACACAGGCTGCAATATAGATACACTAATCAGATCAGAATGATCAGAATGTACTGCACATAGTATGCAGCGCATCAATCACATCACATCAACAGACGCTGGTTTGAGTACATGGAAAATTCAGAGACCAAAGTATGAGATTTTAGGGACAGATGTGCATGTATATTAAATTAAGCCAATAAACATCTCTTAATATGACTCCGATAACTGTTATCGCAATGTTCCGATGTATATCAAAGCAATATTCTATGCGAGAAGTGCGTATGCACCTTTTTAGCTCTGTTGGATATAAGGTATTCTCATCTCTACCTAGACCCCACACGTCGCATACCTTATCCTTGAGCTGTTCCATGGTGATCATGCCCATGTTTTCATGATTCTTTCTAGGCATGTTGTCGTGAGTGGCGTTTCTTCCTATTAATACACCTGTGTGTGTGTGTGTGTGTGGCAGTTGACTATTGAGTGCTGAGGTGTTTGACTGTTTGTATTGTTGTGTTGACCCTTTTATTCTCATCCTCTGAACGAAATTATATCAGCTGGGGAACTTAGCCTGTATCATAAATACTGTTTTAATATTTTTGTTTCATCAATTTTGATAAGCCGGAGTAGGCCTCTTGTTGTCATTGCTTTTTAGTTTATCAAAAGATCGAGATGTTCGGTACGTACTTGCTTTTGTAAAAGCAATATCCCAGAGTCGGACGGCGGACCCAGTGGGTCAGACCCATTCCGACTCCGGGCCAGTCGGCCAGTCTAAATACCCAGAGTCCCAGCAGTCGTCTCCCAGTGGTATTGCACAGATATTTCCTTTTGAACTCGTGGAGACAAATATAATCGTGAACCAAAAGTTTACCCACAACGGGACTTCATAAATCAAACCATATAAATAGCAGCCGTAGTATTCGTTTATCAGTATGCTGAGACTCAGCCAAATAACGCTCTGGTCGCCTTTTACTACTGGAGTCAGTGTTTGAGTTTCACGTAAGCATATATCTTTACTTTATGGATAGTCCTCGTGACTACTACCATAATTACCTTCAAAAATAACAAAATAAAATTTCCGTCTGCAAGTTTATGCACTCTCTGCAAGTCTGTACCAGTACAAATATATGAATAGTATCCTTATTTGCGGATACCAGTTCAGCAAGTTTGTACTTCTTGTAAAAGCTTGTGAACAGAATGTTTATTTGCGGATATCAGTTCTTGCAAGTTTGTACTTGTAGAAACTTACTAAGCACGAATAGTTTCTTGTATTTATCTGCCGACATCAGTAGTATTTACTGGTAAGCTTATAAGTTATATCGTATTTATCAGTATTTGCCAATATCAGCTTCTGCAAGTATATACTGGTAAGCTTATAAGTAGTATTAGTATTTGCGAACATCAGCTTCTGCAAGTTTGTACTTGTAAGCTTTAATGGAAAGTTTCACTTGTAAGCTTTAATGGAAAGTTTTACTTGTAAGCTTTAATGATAAAGTTTTTAGTGGCAACGAGTATTTGCTGAAATCAGGAGGTCGCTTAGTCTTTAACAAATTGTCGCTTAGTCTTAAACAAAGTGTCGCTTAGTCTTAAACAAAGTGACATATTTGCAAGCTCCAGAGTCATATCCTTCATCCACCGGACGGTCGTTTTGCACTGTTTTCTAACATATTTTATTTTGATTTGCGAAATTCATTCGCACTATTCACTCGCACTATTTATTAACATCTACATGCGCCTCTGGGGACTCTAGGTCCTTTCAAAGCGCCTCTGGGAACTCTAGGTCCTTTCAAAGCGCCTCTGGGAACTCTAGGTCCTTTCAATGAGTTGCTGTTCCATGTAGCTCGTCCTCGTCATGTAGCTCGTCATTCATTTATCTGACTCGTCATGTAACTCTGCTTGTTGCGACAAATTATATCAATAGAGACTACACACTTACAGTTGACCACCACTTTAGCCACTCTAGCCCCCTAGGCCCAAAACGGAACGACACGAGCAAAGTGAGAATGCGCGATGTCATGGCTTCAGCTTTTTCCTGTGAGCAGAATAGAATAGAACAAGAGTTGAAGCTGTCTTTCTGAATGTACTGACGTTCGAAGTCCTGTGCACTTCAGTCAGTGACCAACCTTGGGGCCTGAGATAGTATCAAATCAATATTTCTTCGTTCGTAGTGATATGGTACACACACGAGCAGGTACTATATAGACTCGCTAAGTCCGATTGTATATGTGCTTTAAAGTATGACTCAAAATGGGGTAGTTCAATTTTTCCAATAGACTCCAAGTTACACGTCTGTGTGTACGTATATACGTATCAAATTTGTGTCCCCATAACATAGTTGGTTCTTGATGCCCAAGGCTACAATCTCACACCAACTGCTATACAAGGCCGACAAATCCCGGGCCTCCTACTCTGACTGGGATAGACAACTCGTGCGTAACCCAAAGTTTATTGCTCAACTCTATAGCCTTCAGATAGCCTTCTACATTAATTTTCCTTTCCTGGTTGAGAGTGCGTTGCTACGTGCGAAACCGAAAGTTTATTGCGCATCTCCATAGCCTTCAAATAACGTTTTAAATGAAACATCCTCTCTTGGTTGAGACTTGGTTGAGACTCCACGAATGGTGTTCACGTGTACAGCACCGCCTCCTGTCAGTAGTTGCATCTCACTTTCGAGATTTGCGTGTCGACTTGCCGGTTGTGAGCTTTTGCGACTGCGGGATGCAGAATGCGAAGTAGGTTGATATACTTAAAAAATGAAGAACCGGGATAAAAACGTATTCCAAAAAGGTACGTTCCAAAGGAAGCAATCGGATAGTGTACGACACTCCCTCTCATATGATGGTCCCGTTTCTGCGTATATGAGCATGCGTGTGCTTGTCGTGTCAGTATGCGCTTGTATGTATTTGTGTGAAGGCATGTGTGTACTTATGTTTGTGTACGTGTGCGTGATTGTGCTTTGTCGTACACTTTTCGTCGGCAGTAGTGGTTACATGGAGGCCCATTAAGTACGTTGAAATTTCACATTTGCTACTCTTATGGTCATTCTTTGAAATCCACCCCAATGTGATATGTACGGTTCCTGTTTGGATAAACAAAAACGTCTCATAAACAGATATCTACACACAGCCTATAATATATACACATATGTATACATACACATATTTTTAGATATACATATGTAAATAAATACATTTGAATACATGCACATATATATACACACATGAATATATACACATGAATATATATATAAATATATATATATATATATTGATATATATATATATATATATATATATATATATATATATATATATATATATGTGTGTAGTAGTATATATATAATATATATATATATATATATATATATATATATATATATATATATA